ATGAACAATTCACTTGCTCAGCCGTCATTGTCGGCAAACTTTTTTTTGTGCTACATTTTTTTTATTTTAAATGTAGGATTTTTAACGCATTTTTTATTCCCTGGTCAGTACAATTTAAATTATTTTGGAGCCAGGCTTTCGACATTGCCTGTCACGACCAACCTGTGGGCTGAGAAGGACACAATATCCTGTACAATGAAAAAGAAAAGATTAAGATACTGCATAAATTTTTCCCCACTTGGCAATCGAACTCAGGTCTCCTGCTTGCGCCAGTGAAGCGCCTGACTGCTACACCACAAGTGCCGGCTCTGTGAATACTGAATTAGATTCTTCCAAATCGAGTCCGAGCTGAACAAAAATCAGAGTACACTTAACTTCACGACATGACTATGATTAGAGAAAAACACTTAAAGTCTTTTATTTTTTTAGTTTCAGTAAGAGTTTTACGGCACTTGCAACACAATAAGGCCATCCAAGTGCCGAAGATTAGAGGTGTTACAAGAAAGTAACAAACACAAAAAAAAGGAGGACAAATCAGGACGATGGACATTTGATAGGAAAGAAGGAGCAATCCACAGCAGAGTACCCACCAACCATCTGCACACTTACATGGAGATGACTGTGGCTGTAGTGACCTCCCTATCCGAATTTCGGATCTCAACTGGTAAGACAGTAAGCACTGAAGAATTGAATAAGCTCACGGCTGTGGAAGAAACAATAAAAGAATCAACCAATAAATCAGTCAACCAATAAATCAATTGTTAGTCAATTAGTTAATGATTTAATTAGTCATTTAAAAAAACAAACAAATGAGACCAGAGTAAAGGACCACAAAGATCAAACGACTGTCTTTTCTTGTATAAAGTAAAGTTCCTGCATGGGTGATCTCTAAATCAGCATGTCAATTGGGGAATTTCACCTACTAGCATATCAATTAGTTTAGTAGGGGTTTTTCGGCGCTCGCAACTGCATAAGGTCATATGAGCGCCAGAAGACAAGAGCTGTTACAAGAGAGTAACAAACATAAAAAAGATGAAGGGGAGATAAGGACGATAGATGTTTGATAGGAAAGAAGAAGCAAACCACACCAGAGCACCCGCCAACCACCCACTTAGCATGTCAACTAAGTCAGGAAACTGGTTTTTTTCCTAAACCCCCCAAATTTCGTCTTTTTAAGTAAGCGTTTTACACCGCTATCAATACAAGTTAGACCACTTAGGAGATGGGCCTTGACCCTGACTGTCAGAGCCACCTCGGACACAGAGGGATGTAATGTCGTGTGGCAAAAAGACCGAGACGCTCGATAATAAAACTCCTCACACTGGTATCAAACTCGAGTCTTGTGCATTTGACGGTTGAGTCGCCACCCTAAAATTACAAAGTTCTATCTGCTCAGAGTCCAGTTTTGAAAAACTTGATGTTAAAAATTTGGATTCACAACAAGAGAAACTCTTTCCAAAGCAATTATTTAATTAATGTCTTGATAACGACTCCAAATAATGTGACGATTTTGATAGACGAGTAGATAGATCATTACGTTTCTGACCTCATGGTCATAGTAATTCAAAACGGCCAAAAATGTCAGATAAAATCTTGCAATTCTCAGGCAGCGAAGTGCCTAACCACTACATGACAGACACCGGTTAAACAAGATTCCCAACACAATGGTTTAATGATCTCCTTAGATAAGCACAAGGAGAACAATATGCGAGGAAGTGTAGTGTGTTTGTGTGTGTGTGGGGGGGGGGGGGGGGGGGCGTAAGCATGGGACATCAAGACTCCCTACTAAGACATTCGACAACACGATCAATCCATCGTGGTACTCTCTCTCTCTCTCTCTCTCTCTCTCTCTCTCTCTCTCTCTCTCCCTCTCCCTCTCCCCCTCTCTCTCCCTCTCCCTCCCTCCCTCTCTCTCTCTCTCTCTCTCTCTCTCTCTCTCTCTCTCTCTCTCTCTCTCTCTCTCTCTCTCTCTCTCTCACACACACACACACACACACTTTGTGTGTGCGAGTGTGCGTGTGTGTGTACCTCAAAGTACTACAACTGACGGTCATCTTGATTTGAACAGGGAAAGGCGATTCGTCATTGTCTTCACCAAAAACAGGACGACACAATTGCCCATTGTATGGTTATTGTAAGTTCAACGCCCCCTTTTACAAGCTGTATAGTTATTTAAGGGGAGGGAGCTCAGAATTTGATGTACATCTTCGATTTATTTTGGTTTCAGTAACAGTTTTACGGCACTTGCAACACAATTAGGTCATATAAGTGTAAAAGAATAGATGTGCCACAAGAGAGTAACATACACAAAAAAGGAGGAGGAGAGATAAGGATTATGGATGTTTTATAGGAAAGAAGGAGCAAACCAAACCAGAGCACCCGCCAACCACCCATTTCGATATTACTGTAAACTCTCTGGTAGCAGCAGCAGCAGCACAAGCAGCAGCAGCAGCAGTAGTAGTAGTAGTATCAGTATTATAATTATCACCCCCACCTCATTCCCACCACCCCACCACCACCAACACATCATCATCATCTTCATCATCATCATCATCATCATCATCATCATCATCATCATCATCATCATCATCATCATCATCATCATCATCATCATCATCATTATTATTCTACATAATATGATATACAATATGACATGTCATCTTCGGTTTCTAGGTATTGTGGCCAGTCATGGCTAAGCATTATAATAACTATGTCCGTTGCAAGTGTAACTCCCAACAATGAGAAAAAGTGGGTCATTCTGAAGAGGGGCCACTTGATCCATTGGCCCATGGGTCAGCAGGCTATCTGATACTCTTGACTTAAACCGTAGCGTACGGTGAACCCCTACAACAATGGCCACGTATTCTATGTATTTAAAAATGGTGAAATTGAGTAGGTTTTCATCAACATCAACAGATGTATGAGGAGTATTCTAAGAATTAAGTGGCAGGATAGAATAAGAAATGAAGAACTGTGGGAAAGGACAGGACAAAAGGATATAGAAGTAGAAATAGGACGAAGAAAGTGGCGATGGATGGGACACACCTTAAGAAAGCCCAGCGGAAACATCACAAGACAGTCACTACAGTGACAGGAGTAGGCCACGGGAAACATGGAGGAGATGTGTGGAAAGGGACATGAGAGAAATGAAGCTCACTTGGAACGAGCTTGGAAGGATAGCTCAGGTCAGAGATAAATGAAAGGAGCTTGTATGTGGCCTATACCCTGCCAGGGGTGAAAGGCATTGATGATGATGAGTAGGTTTAACGCCCCTATCAACAAGTTTATTTGGTTATTTAAGAGGCGGGACTTCCGAGTTTAACTTCCACCTACGAAAAGACCGAACTAAATGGAAAATTCACGTGAAGTGCTTTCCCAGGAACACAACGTCAGACCAAGCTGGGTCTCGAACCCATGAACCCGCAATCTCACGGCTATGAATCCAGCAGTCTAACCACTTGGCTGCCTCCACGGCGTTTTATTTATTTATGTGTTAGCATCTGATCGAAATGGCAGTCTTACTAAAAGGACTGTTAAGTATTAGTTTAGTAAGAGTTTTACAAATATGACCTTAAGCAGTTGCGAGCGCCGTAAAACCTTGTTAAAACAAAGGTCATATATCGACTTCTTAATTTTAGTGAAAATTTTACGGCATTTGCAACACAATTAGGTTAGGTCATATAAGTATAAGTGCCGAAGGTATTAGAGGTATTACAAAAGAGTAAAAAACACAAAAAAGAAGGAGGGGAGATCAGGACGATAGATGTTTGATTACAGGAAAGAAGGAGCAAACCAGAGCACTGAGAGCACCCGCCAACCACCCGCCGACTGCTTTGTGTTAAAAGGTGGCGCATGACGCGAGTCTTACACACAAAGGTGTCGAAAGTCAGTAGAGGTGATATATACCAGAGAGTTAGCAAAACACAACATTATTCACGCAACAACAAAAGGTCACCCAGAGCTGGGCGATAGACAAACACGCACACAGAATTGATCGATAGACAAAGACCATGTTCCGTG